AATTGTAATCTCCAGCATATAATAATTTATTTTAAAAAGATCTACAAAAATAACAATATATAGGGAAAAATATTTAAAATAAAAACATAATTCACTTTTCCCTTCACGTGCTCCAACACTGACATAAAAGTTAGGTGGGTCCCACTGAGGTAATAAAAGTCCCCCTAAATATAGCTAACTTTACAGTCCTACAGAGCACTTCATTTCCTAAACTTACAGTAAGATTTTTCTACCAGAGCCATAAATAAAAACTATCTGCAAATAGAAATTATTTTCCCTAGCTACCAACTTAATATAATCCAAAGGTACTTAAAATTTATTTTTGAGAGCTATTTTTAAAATATTACATAAATTGAACTTAGAGAAGTGTAAAAAAATTAGTAGAGGGACACACAGGAAAGCTGTGCTCAAAACGAATTAGTTTTTCTGCCACCTGCCACATACAACTATGTTTTATGAAGTTTACCCATACAAATAGAAATTTTCAAGTTACTCACCACCTTTCAAAAATAGAATACAGATGCAAAAGTAGTCATTAGTATTTATTTTAAGCAGCTTTAAATTGTTTAACAAACATTAAAATCTCAGAATGTTAGCTACAGGACACCAGCAAGCTCTGTTAAAATAGATTATGTGTTTTCCAGTTATGTTCTTTCCCACTCTCCTTCAGCAAACCCCTTCACTTGTGACAGATACTTATTCAAGTAACTTCACCACCTATATATATATTTTTATTAGCAGGAGAGAAGGAGGGATGTTTTCTCTGCTGGCCCCAACCCTATAAACTCTCAAGCACAGGCTTAGAAACACTTGTGCTTACATGTTCTCAGTTAAGTACCATACAGTTTTCTGTTTCTTTGTATTGGACTATTCACATGTATAGTCCATATCTGAAATGTTAAAAGAATCTGGGACCCAATTCACTATTTTTTTAAGAAAAAGTATATTAAAAAGGCAAAATACTCTACAAATGCAACTACTTCTAAAAAGACTGACATATGCAGGCTGACACAAACTAGAAGTTTATTTTAGAGAGCTGTTGGTATCTCCCCACAATGCCTACCCTCCCTTTGCTAAAGAATGGACATAATGAGTTAAGCAATGGGGTTTTATAGATCAGTTTGAATTTGCACCTGCTGAATCTTATCTCCGTTTCCTGAGTGTCAAGTGAAGCTTCATCCCCGACACAAGACCATACTACAATATTATCAGAATGAAGAAATGCAGCAATTGGGATTCTAAGGCAGGAGAGCCTCAAGAATAAATAGTTGCAAATCTCAGGAATCAGGGAAATATTACAGTCAAACCCTCAGAGCTATCATACTGCAGGAAGTAGGGCATCCACATTTTTCAAAAGAAAGTAACATAAAAGTAGGTTGCCAGGCAGCTCATATACTGCCACTTGCTAGCAGCGCTTTCTGAAACAGCAGGACCTCTGTAAAACCAAGGTCTGCCTTCTTCCAGCTGAACTCATGGGGAAAAAAAAATTCCTAAAGTTTCTTTTTGCCAGCTGATGCCTCCCACAATGAAACTACCAACACTTTGTGGCAGAAGTGAGCTATTTTTTCCTTATGCAGTACTTATAAAGAACAATCTGCCCCCTGAAAACAGACCTTTCATAGGAGCATGTGAAATGGGAACTGGCAGCATCCGGTCCCTTTACAGCAACACTGTGCTTTTTGTCCATTGTCTCGTTTGACAGAAAATTTCCTCCTGAACTTGGCTGCTAGAATTGAAGCTGATATATTTCTCTATAGATGTGAAAAAATCCCCCTAGATTGTAACTCACTATGTCCACCTTTCTAAAAAAAGGCAAGTACACCTGCTTTTCAAAGCAAGTCATATGATGAATTTTACATATGTGAGTAACATTAGAACTGGTATTCCATTATGGGATGGGAATAGGAGAAACGTCCCAATTCTAAACTAAAGATTATAACTTACCTTTTTTTGACAAATGAGAGGCATTTAAATGTTTTAAATTAAGATTAAACATCTTAATCTGACCAAAATGCTCAAAATTTGATACTAACAGGCGACTCTCATTACCCATCTTAGGTTTGTTCCTATTAAGGTACTAAATTATCTGGAGCTAAATACTAAGAACAAACATAAAATAAATTTCAATTTAAAAAATCCCTCCAAGTAACCAAATTAACTGTCTCAAAAGTTCCATTGCAGTATAAAAGATAACATAAGTTAATTTTTATATTTCAGGTCTGAAACAATGAAAGCACAGTAGATAATACGTAAAACAAAACATTCTCACATATACCTACCATTCTAATCCCAAACAAATTCCAACCATCCCTAATGCTAGAAATGTTACAGCCAGCCTCTCAGTGGAGACACAGCTTCAGGGAAGCTGAAACCAACAGTTCAATTATAATTTCACAGAACAATTACTACTACAATCCTGAAAAAGATCTTTCAGAACTGTGCACCTTAAGATAAATATGAGCTTAAAAGCAGAGCACCAAAACCGATCTGGTTCTTCATTTTTCAAGTGTCAGCACTCACCAATGACTTTAGTGGCAGTTGCTGAGTGCACAGATCTTCAGAAGGCGCATAAATGCAGACTCAAAAATGTAACTTGAAACAGCCTTATCCTTACCATTACTTTTAATAAAGTCTTGGCCACATCTCTAAGACATCTGACTCCTGAACACCAGATATCCAGAGCCACGCTGCTCCCCACACTGGCACTGGCCTCACATAAAGTTAAATACTCTAGTCTATGTAACATGCCTTTGACAGCTGCCTCACACAGGATTAGCTTGCTGTCCCATTAATTTATTGGGAAATGAGCTAGTGACAAAAAAAAAAAAAACCAACAAAAAAAACCCACTGAAACAAAACAAAACAAAAAAACCCATCCTCAACCTTTTTTTTCCCTCTTGTGCCTCAATATTCCATAAACTATGTACAGTCAGCACACAGCCAACACATACCAGTCAGTTTCTCTCTCCCCATGTAGGGTGATGTACACACAAGTCTCACAGTGAAACTGAGGTTTTAGTGTAAGCTATATTTGCTATAAGTTAGGCTAGCAAGAAAGTAAAATAGATTTCTAATTCAATAAACTGAATTCTTAATAAAAAAGACAAATTTAGCTGCAAACTAGCCTGCATCAGAAGGCTGAATATCAATATTTGGTCCAGTCTCTTCTGGTGTAAATAACTTATCGCTACAGCTATGATGGCAAACATTCCTTCTTTCTTTTAAAACATATGAAAATACTCAATGCATAAATCATTTATAACCATAAACAAACCTTAAAAATCTGCTGACTTGCCATATAGCTCCAAATACTCACATTTCAACCCAGAACGTAATTCCTACAAAAATACCGGAACACAATATGAGAAGTTTAACACATTGTTTTAACTTCTATTATTTCAAACTTCATTTACACAAGTAGGTGTTATTTTTAACATGGAAAATTTAGGGTGATTTTGGTCCCTTTGTAAGTGCATTCTTTTGAACTCCCTGAGTACTGTACATTCCTTTTCTACAGTGAATTCTGACTGGAAGATGCTGAATAAAGTGGTTTTGCGTTGCTGCATATAAAGTAAGGTCTATTGCTTAAAATGAAGCACAGCAGCATAAGATTTTACAAAATATGCAGCTCATGTTTCAGCATCTGAACTATGAGTGAGCCTTCAGCTTCCCCAGATCTCTCCTTTGCGTACTAGAAGTGGCTAATTTACATCCACAAAGACAGTCAAAATGCAGTTACTGTTATCATTTATGTCTTGGAAGATAATTCTTACCAATCTGCTGTTATTTATACCTGCAAGTTAACACAATGGAATAGTCAAAGCCCTCTTGGACCAGCCATCTCTATCCAGGCACTCCAAGGTCAGTAGCCATAGTTGTGTAGGTTTTTATAAAAGAAACAGAAATTATACTAACAAACCAGTCACCTAACTCCACATTTTCAAAACACAGTAGTTCTTAACATTGTTAATAATTAAATAATAATAATAAAAATATGATACCACTTCAATATGAGTACTTATATTGAAGTATGAGTATAAGCAAAGTATTGACAATAAACTGTAGAGTATCCAGTATCCAGTTCCAAAAATAACTGTGGGTTGCAGCAGTGCTGAGCATTTGCTTATTGACGTTTTCTATTTTAATGAAAAAAGAAAACTGGGCAGCACATTGAAAACAAAAAGAAACTCAGGTGAAATGAGTTTACTTTTTAAAACTAATTTATAAAATAACCAACAGTTCATTATGTAGCAACAATATAAAGAGTTTAAGGTTACTGAATCAATCAGTATATACTAAAGATAAGATACTTTGATACCAAATGAGGCTTCCAGTTTCACTTAAGAAGTTGGAATTATTTAGCTCATGAAAGAATACCTTAAATTCAACAGATATGGCTGAATCTGTGCACTAGTTAAAATATAATATTGTAACTGCACATAAAAAGATGCATTTATATACAGTTTTTACAGTGTATGCACATGTGTGTATACATTTTTTTACTCACCAACAAACACAACACAGACAATAGAAGGCAGCATAGAAATAGTGTTTTGAATATAAAAATGCTTTGTTTTCAATTTAGTAGAAAACGCATAATTTGCATTTTGGCAGACTTACTGGTACAACTATACAAAACCAGGAAAAGGGTCATGCAAAAGGGTTAAAATTATTCTCCAAAGTAAATAAGGTAAAACAAAAATGCCTAGTATATTTGCGAGTACTTTGCAGTTAATGGGAAAAGCATCTAAAGGACAACATAAAACACAGAATGGTTTGGTTTTGTTACTTTATACCTGGTTGTACCCAAGTACAGGTGATGAGCTGTATTTTGATGCTCAGTAAAAAACGAAAATAACATCTTTCTTCTCTTCCCTTCACAAATATTTTGTCAAACTCAACTTATTTCAAAAGTATAGTGGTATCATGGCCATTAAAAAAAAAGAGAACACATTGTGGGCATAAACTGTTATTAAAAAAAAAGCAGACTCAAAAATATATTTTTTTTCTCATACTTACAATTATGTTTGTTAAAAAAAAATAACAAAGCTTTCACAAGGTCAGACCAACTATCACCTTTTCTAATAAACTTGGTAAGTACACTCCCCATACATCCTGTTTCTCTTGAGCATTTAGCTGTTGTTCTTATACACAAGAAAATGTCTCTGCAGGAATTCAACTGGTTTGTAATTTTTTTCAGTATAGCTTTTTATATTTGATTGGGTTGTTCATTCTCTTTTAGCTGCAACGTCTAACATGCTCCAAAACATACTCAGGAAAGTGCAGGCTGCAGACCTGTAAGCCATCCAGCTTGCACGGCATCCTTGGATATTCATCTTCTTTCCATTTGTTTTCCTCTGGATCAAAAGTGAGAATTGAATCACTGTAATGACCATTGTAACAAAGGCCTCCAAGAACCATTATCTGTTTGTCCAGAACAGCTACACCATGACCACTCCTACCTATTGGCATAGAAGCCAATATAGTCCATTGATCAGTATCAGGGTCATAAACCTCTGTAGATGGACATCCTTGAGATTCAAAGGAGGCTCTCAGGATCACACAGACACCACCAAAGACATAAAGCTTACCATTATAAGAAATCATTTTGTGAAAGCATCTTGCATAATTCATTTTGCATTTGTTCTCCCAACAGTTAGTGACCACTTGAGTTCTCCGTGTTCGCTGCTCTACTGTCCCTTCTTTACTGGGATCAAACACACACACTTGCTTAGAAGTTGAGGATGATGTAATTCCACCAGTGATATACAGCTTGTTACCAAGCACAGTCCCTTCATGTCCATACTTATTGACAGGATAGGGATCCACAAATTCCCATTTATCTTCAGTGATATCATACCGTTCAGTTGAGTAAAACGTCTCATCCCTGGTTCTCCCAGCCACGGCATAAACATACCTGCCAATCACTCCAACAGCAAACTCAGAACGTGGCACAGACATGTCTGCCATTCGTAACCAAGTGTTCTGTCTTGGGTCATACCTAAACACTTTGGATGAAGCATGGAACTCACCATCTGGCCCCAGTTCTTCCCCACCTAGTAAGAACACGAAGTTATTTACAATAGCAAGGCAGTCTGGTCGTAAAGGTACTTGAGGACCCTCTAGCTCCCACCAGACCCTCGGTTTGTGCAGGAGAAGAATTTTGCTGTTTACCATACTGTGTCCTATCATTCCTCTAAATACTGCAGTCTGGGGTTTGGCAGAACGAATTTTGTTCGATTTCATTTCCATCAAAGGCTGTTGGTGAACGCTATGAAAGTAATTCATGGCTTGGTCAACCTCATGTCGCAGCTGCCGGGAGTAGCGATAAAACTCTGATGTTTTTACCTATGAATACATTTAAAAGATATTAAAATTCTGACCAAGAGCAACAATCCAGAAAACCTAAATCACTATGTGTCATTAGAAGATTATTTTACTTTGTTTCATTCAGGCAATCTTGAGAGCAATTGCATTTATGCATGAAGGTTTAAACTGATGTATTGTTATCCAAAATCCAGAAGGCAATTTAGTGATTAAGAGCAGTGACTAACATTTTCAGCAGAATAATCACATGCAGATTTTATGCTGGAATTAGGCACAACTGAAAACCACAAGTCTAAAAATCATTATTCCTTCTCCTGAAAAAAGCTTCTGTTCATCTTCTTCTTAGTCCATGAAGTACCCAAATGTAAAAAAATCATCTTTTCCTGGCTTTCAAAGACATTCTACACATCCATTCTGTGGTTACCAAGGTCTACTCTAGTCTGGCTTTTTTCTGAATTCTCACCAATGAAGCCTGAGCTCTCAAATGCTAGGCTCTGCTCACAGGGCTATTTAATTGCCATGGGGTGGGAAGGGAAGGCACCCAACCACCTTCCTCAAGAATATGTGCTTGCACCAACCACTCATCGTGATGATGACCTTATGGTTTCCCCTCGGTGAGTCTCCACATGTTAGCACATGCCTTTAACACAAGAAGGAAACATCTCCACCTATACTCCTTCAGTTGTGCACTTCTTTGGCAAATTGCAGAGGCAGGTTTGAACTTCCACTTGCCAGGTGAAAGTTACAACCTCAGAACCATCCCTGCTCAGTTTTACTGGAGTTGTAGGCACAAGGGAAAACAAGAATTCCCTTCTGGGACCCTTGATACTATCTTAAGACAATTTAAGTGCCTGAGGCTGGTCCTGAGACCATTCCAAAACACATCTCTGTCTGTACATTTTAATTAATCTAGCTCAAGGCTCTCCTCAGCTAATCGTGGGAATCTCTTCAGAGGCCTCACTCTTCCTGTACAGTCTGGTGTAATACAGCATTCTGAATCACACTTCTAAAACAAATAAAAACCTGCTAGATGTTGCCAAGTCCACAAATCCTCCATCAGATTTGATCCTAAATCCCAGTTTCTTTCACATAAAATTGGATTGCTTTCAAACAGTCTGAAAGCCTTTAGTACCCACCAGCTCCAAATAAGAAGCAATACTCTGAAAAATATCTGAAAAATATCACTGAAATTTCAAGTGACCAGGAAATTTCAAGGTTAACACCAGGAGCTAGTATTTTTAAGTATCTTTTAGCCCACCTCCTCCTATCCTCTGTCCCAAGGGGGATGGTGGTATGAATTTTGACATATATGGAAAGAAATTTATAAATTAATGTTCTTTATAGCTTGTAAATCAAGTAGCTGCTTGTTCCATAAACACATACCATTAAAATTTTGTTAGCCATCTGTTAATCATCTCTTCCTTGTGTAGTAATTAAGATATTCTGCTGTCAAGGAATGATTTGTTTAAAAAAATCTTTTGAACTGTTATTATTGAACACAACTTTCACAGTTTTTGAGACAGTTTGAAATACCAGATTTCAAAAAAAATGCCGAATACTAACCTACTATTTTAAAGCAATGTATAGGTCAAGAGTGACAGTGACTTGATGTTTTTATTTACACTTTTCTTTCTTCCACTTTAATTTTGACAAGTTCAACTTATCTTTGTTTGGAAAAAAAGGAGGATGGTCACATGCAGCTCACATATATTATTTCTTGCAGCAATGTCCAGCTTCTTTCTACTGTTTTTACCAGAAGGGATTTTGAAGCAAAAAGGTTTACTCAGGTATGGTACTTACAGAAAACCCAGAGTAAGCCCAACTCTTCTGGGAACAACAGCTCTATTTTCTTGTTGCAAATAAATATATCCTACAAAGACAGATCTGCTCATATGGTATTTGTTAGAATAAACCATATACCTTGCCTGACTGAAAAGACTGAACATAAATTACAGAAAACATGCTGGCAGTGAGAACTACAGCACAGAAAAATGGTAACATATAAAGGTTACAAAAAAAGAAAAAGGATGTTAACACAGAATCATGGCTGGGCTACTTTATCCTTAAAAGGAACTTCCAAATTTTAAACAAGCAGGACTACCTCAGGTATTCCCAAACTGGAGCTATCCTCTTCGGAATTAAATAAAAATATAAACCATCTTTGTTCCATCTATATGCAGTTCAGGTTTTCTTGGATAATTATGGAAGACAACAGGATCAACATGCTTGCAATGTGAAGCATACCAATAAAGCCTGGCAGAGATAGAAAATGTTTTTCTTTCTCCCTCAACATTTACAACTCTGTTATTAGATCTAGAAATCAGAATGCCAGCCAGAAAATGCTGAAATTAAAATAAGCCTACAACCTCATCACTCTAGCCTTCACATAGCCTAAATCTCACCCCATGAGAGCATGCCAAAGGAAAGAAGCAGTATCTCTAATTCCAGAGAGAGACCCTCAAAACCAGGGAATCAATCTATTAGTTTACTAATGCTTATCTTGACAAAGGTACTCATGTCAAAGCAAAGCCTCAACCTATTACCTTAAAAAAATGAAAAAGACATCAAGGACCAAATGCAACTCCCAGTTATTAACACCCCTCTGTAAACAAGCTCACGGTGAAGCTTTGACAAGCACAAGTTTGAAGAGCTGAACATGAAAATACATAAGCACTAGCAAGTCTTACAATATGCAGAAAAAAAACCCTGCAAAACAAGAGTGATCTACTACCTCACTTCTGATATCAAGAAAGTAATTGGAGCATTCCTAGACTCGGCTGTCAAGGAAAAATATTCCTGTTTTGAGCCATCCACCTTTCACCAGCATAACCTCTGCCATACAGGAGCCGTACCTCTCCTGAGGCTCAATGACAGGAATGAGGTTACAATGATAGTCTAAGATGAATGTTAGGATCTATAGGACCCTATAGGAAAGTACAGACTGCTCACGCTTGCTTGATGCAAATGAAAACAAAGCAAATGTAGGTCATTTGACCCACTTTCAGTCACACATTATGAACATTATGAAATGTTCTAGAAGTATTTGAAAGCTGTGTTCAGCTCCTAGTAAGAAAAACCCTCCGTCTGTACTTTCAAATAATTTTAGAGTCATCTTCTTTACTTGTATATATAATCAAAAAAAAGGAGCATTAAAATTTAGGTAGCTTGGTATCTAAAGTAAGTTCTCAATGTCAGCAGATGAAAGCCCACGGCCTTTTGCAGGAATTTCTATCTGACTCCCAAAACATGCAGAAGGAAAGCCCCCTCAGCTTTCAAAAGTAGGCTCTGACACTACCTGTAAGTAGCAAAAAGAAGTTGATAAGTAAATATCAAAGTGCTTATCAACAGATCAATTTTCCTCTTATGTTCAAATGGAGAAGCTCTGGAAGGAACGTGTCCATAATTAACAACACTCAAACAGAACACAGATTTCTGCAATACAGATGGAAATGTACAGCAATTGTCACAAACTCTGAAGTAAAACAAACGTGCATTCCTAAAGAGTACATCATCAACTCTGAATTGATAAAAATTTATAAATTCTTCAAAGCATTTTCGAAGTTTTTCTTTAAACTGTTCTGTTATCTTGCTGAAGGGTCTCAAAGGCATTTGAGGTTGAACTTCCTTATCAACCCCAGTCATACTGGAAAGGAATTTAATCCAAGTGCTAAAGCTTTGCTCATGTAATTTTTTTTCTTTACATTTTTTACATTCTTTCCAATTCTTTCTTTAATTTTCTGGAGAAAACCTTCTTAAAGAGGTTATGCTGGGACATAGTTCCCATTCTCCATCTCTGGAGATCTTGCATTAGGCTATCTCAATGTATGAACTACCAGTGGTTCACAATCAGACTTTCAGCTAAACAGACTGAGAACAGCATAAACAAAATCAAATGCGTTATTCCATAATAAAAGATGTAAAAATAATTTAAAACGTCCACCCCTCTACTTGTCCCCTAGGGCATCCCTCCAGTCACAGTAAATTTGAGCTTTAATGCATTTTCTCTTCTTTACTTCAAATCAGTGAAACACTGCATAAAAAATGCTGGATTTCCAAATTAATGCAATGATTGTTCATTGCCTATTTTTCTGCTGTACTGAATGCATGCTTTTTCTAGCTATGGAAATCTCAAAATCCTCCATTTATATTATATGAAGAAGTAAAACAAAATATTAACCCATTAATTTGTAATTTGAAAAGTTATCCCACAAAAGACCAGGTGTATCCCACATTATGTTCATAAACCTTCCCCCCCCAAACGATTATGCTAATTAATAAGCTGCAGGAAGAGCAACGAAATGCAAGGTAAATGTTCTGTAACACATTTGACTTCAGTATATAACCTTTTTAAAAAATTGTCCTCATGCAACCATTTACAGCTACTGCTCTATTTGTATTCTTGTTACTTAGGTTTATAAGAAAAAGCTTTCAAAACCAGAAAGAAAGGCTTGTTTTGAACTGCCCGAACTAAACAGCTATTATTTGTGCACCTGATAACTAAATTTCAGTATGTTATTATATAGGGTGGATATTAACTTGCTTCCTTCTGTAGAACTGGTAAAAAAACCCCAAAGACAAAAACAAAAGCACAGAAAAATCTCAATGGCTTATAATGTCACTTTATCATCTCTAGTCATGTAAACAGAGAATGGTTTTAAAGATTCCAACTTACTGTGCTTAAGTTTTTTAAGCCTGCCAATTCTGAACGTGTGATGCAATTCATCTACTAGGAGTGCAGAAGTAATGCTCCACCTTTCCAGTGAACAACGATGGTACCTGTATCACACTTCTAAAGACCAAATTCTTACTCAAAAAAAAAACCGAAAAACAAAAAAACCCAAAAAACTTATTTTACTAGACATTAATCTCAATCAACACTGAAGATCCATCAACTCCACTAATAAGTATCCTTATTACTGTCACATCTACTTATCTCTGGCCATATTCTAATCACAATTATAAGCTGGTGTGAGAACTGCTGAGTACCAGTGAAGGGCTTTGAAGGGCTATTCTGCAAGAATAGAAATCACTTAAGTGTTTTCAGCCTAACCATGGAAAGGCACAGCAAGGACGATGCCCTCAAATTGATTACTCAGCTGTTCCTTTTTAGAAACTGGAAAGAGAAATTGTCAAAGTCAAGATCTAATCTAATCTCTCAAATCAGAGTGGGGTCAATCTATATGCCACAATTAAGAAGCTCAGCATGTGATAAATACTGCTAGCAAATCTATTCAAATCAACAGTAACCTTAACAGCCAAAAATATTAAGCACAGCACCTATTTACAGTAAGAGGGGCCCCTAACTTCACCCACATTTCTTATTCTACACTTCAACAAACAAAGTTGTATAAGTAGATACATATCTACTACTAGGCATGGAGGTAAATGGGGAAAAAAAATAAATTCAACACATTTATGAAAGGTCTTCACAGTAACAAAATTACAATGACATCTTCTCAAAAAATTATTATTTTCTACGAACAGGACAGCAAATATTCAAAGATAATGTGCTATTCATTCTACCTCTACAACAGAAGCTGATGAACCTAGTGATTAGTAAATTTTTGATTTAAGCTGGCATAATAATAATAAATCAGCATGGACTAATCATAAACAAACCTTACAGACTGGACATAAAAAAAACCCTCGGTTTTTAAGGACAAAGATTTTGAAACAACATTTCAATCCGAGTAGTACAAAGAAATTAAATGGAGCTTAAACAGTGTATTTCAGTGAAATCATGACATCGTTGACTCCAGTAACCAAGATATTAACTCAGTGATCCAGGTGAAAGGCACTCCAACTTCTATCTCCAAACTTCTTCAAGACTTACAGAGCCATGGATATGTTTCATAAAATAGGAGAGCACAACGTGGATTGTTAAACCTGTGTTTTTCCCAAAACACTTTGCCTTTACTTTTTAACTATCCTCTAAATGCTTATGTGACTTATCTTTCCATTTTCTCCATACATTTGCACGTACTTTAAGGGCTGAGGAATAAAAGGAGTACCTACTCATAGTTCAGAAACCATTCTTCCAGGACAGTTTGCAGTAAGCAAACACACTCTACCTTCACTTTGCACTCTTAATGGCTATCAGCCTCCAAGTATTAATCTAGACTCATTGATATTTTTAAATTGTACACCTCTCCAAAAAAATGTTGTAAGGAACAGAATGGCCTAAGAGGACAAAAGTATCCTTACCATGACTTCCAAAGTTTAGTTATATAAGTCATCTATATCCTACAGTGACAGGCATCTGAGAAATGCGTATTAGAAAGATTACACAAAAGTACATGACAAGCCAGCCAGTGTAGAGCAAATACAGAGTTTGGTGAACTGGAAGAGTCAACCTCAGACTGTGTTTGGTACATTCATGCATTTAGTATGTGTGGATTCTGTTTGTGGATCTCCAAAACAGGGAGTTTTACCACTATTTCCCTATTTCACACAGAGAAGAAAGAGGCTCTCCCCGAGTTACTGCCAGAACAGTGAACAGACACGCTCTTTTATTAAAAAAATAAAGTGTTCTATATTCTGATGTTGGCTCCAAGTGCAGTTGTCCTTTGTCATTTGTCCTGCTAGATAACTTAATACTCTCTAGCCAGGGTAAAACATAAATGCATTCCTAGCTGCAGTAACAAATGACATAATTAGCTCTGCTTCCCTCTGCTGAGCTGTCTCCCTCCATAATCTGTACTGGCTTTTCTCTGCTCCCACATACAATTAACAGAAAGGGTATTACCAGATAAAGCTTTCACATGCAGGTATAGAACCTGGCATCCTGAAAACAGCTTCTCTCCTGAAGTTTTGCCTATTGGGCTATTTGGTAGCTGTCAAGATAAAACATGAGAAGCACTGTATGCAGAATTTATACCAATGGTATCAAAACCAACCCCAGAAGTTATACCCAAATATAATGCTGACGGCCAACATATATTTTCACTTGCACTTACAGAAATTTAACTGAAGACAGTTTGATGCTTGAGCTTGCATCCCCAAAACTCATACAGCTGAAGCAGACTGATACAAATCCTGCCTTATTAGATTAACCTCTAAAAAGATATGTGGTGAATTCTGTATGTTTTATTACTGAAGGGTTTAAATTATGTAATAATTTGGCAAAAATTCTATTTAAAATAAGACACTACACAGTATCCTGCAGAGTTCAGCTCTTACTAGTTAAAAATTTTAACCCAATATAAGCATTACATCAGTGTTCTAAAATGTCTATAGTCCAATATGGCATAATTAATGTTTTATGTATTATTACTTCCTATACTCAGTTCATACACAAAAAAATCCAAAATATTAAAATTCACTAGTCTGAAGTAATTAGAAGCTCTTAGAAGCTGAAATACAAGTAAGTATAAGAATTACTGCTTGGATGATCCAGTGGCCCTTAGAACAACCAAAACCAATACAACCTTGTCTGTATATTCATTAAATACTAAAGTAAAAATATATGGGAGATTAATTTGTAAGAAGCACAACAAAAACATGGGGTCTGAACTCCTACTAACTTGCTGAATAGGTGAAAAACACAGCAGTTGAAGTTGTATCTTGTAAGACAAAATTAAGAATTAAAATTAATTGTTAAAACAGCACAGGTGAGTAATTCCTAACCTGAACACTGTTACTGGCCTGTAAGAAAACTGATTACAAAGTATGTAATCCTCTACTGTTAACAAATATTCAGACATTCTCAAGAACTAGAAAACAATTTCTTTTCTGTTTTTCAACAGAAAAGTAGAAAAGGCAAGTTCTCCTTTAACTCTTACTACATACAATGAAATACATTGAATTATAAGATCACCTGTTACAAAGAGTCATTTTATAACATCAATTTTTGATTGTATTATCTTGTGTACAACCAAGTGTATGTTTAACATTGCAGGATCAGAGCTTACTTCTAACTGCTGTGTAATAGCACAAGCACTGAAAATACAACAACAGCACTCTGAAGATTTCAGAGCAGATGCTACTTTTCATTTGTAAATAACCCTCCCCTGTACTTAAGCCACATAAGATCTACAGTCATTATTTTTGATTATATTGGTAACAATCATCATAACATACACCCTACATACTTATGTGCAGGTCTAAAGCCTCTGGAAAGCAAGAAGCAACTTGCACAAAAAAGATAAGAACGTTTGAAATCAAACTAGATAAAAGTGACCTTACTTCTAAAGGTCTTTTCCATATAAAGTCACATATAAACATGTACTGCAAACATACCTGTTCTCCAGTCACTGCAGGTATTATTGGCTAATAACCAAAGACAACACTTCTAGATGTTTGAAAGCACTTCTATGCTTTTCTTTATTAGAAAAAAAAATGCTATAATTTTGTTCCTTCTCATAGCTTCCAGAATCTTACCTATTGAATGGCATGCTGCCCTAGCTAAATGATGAATCCTGCCTATTGCTTTTCAAATGCACCAACCTTCTCAAAAACACTGGAGGGTGTCATCAAACAAAACCTGATGTTCTGAATGATGGTGTCCGTATGTCTCCAGCGTCTTCTATCATGGCGTAGCCAGGCCTGAACAGCTTCATACAGCTCTATCTCTGGAAATCTGCTCAGATGATCATTATCCAAGTAAGACATGAGCTTCTCAAAGCTCAGATATGAAAGAAAGTCAGGTCTGGACATGAGTGGCACAAAATTCTCTAGCAGAAAGGAATCCAATTTTTCCCTGACTCCTTCGATGTTTACACCAAAATCATCCAGAAGTCTCATAATTTCTGCACAGTTTTCTAAGCAGATTTTAGCTAAGAGAAAAGAGCAGCAAAACTTTACCACTTCTATAAGCTGGACATACATGGCAGCCTGAAGGATTTCATGAACAGTGTTCATACTCAGTTCAATAGTTCCATAGTACATGAATTGGAGGACATGACTGAAGCCTGTAGCTGTCAGGCCTTTCAAATGGATTTTGTCCTGATCTCGTTCTCGCATGTCTGCTGTGAACATAATCCTGAAGTAATCACTCTGGGTGGCAAGCAGTGCTTTATGGGCCTGAAATTGGTGGTCTTCAATGACAAGGGTGACATCAAGAAGCAATCCCTCCTCATACAGTGCTCTGAATCCTGCAGAGACACTGGTGTCATGGATGGAGGAGCTAAACCCTTCCACGTCCCCTGCCATGAATCACCTGGGGGGAAGAAAAAAAAATAAATAAAAATAAAAATAAATCATAATTTCTAATAACATATTACAAGCCCTTCCTGACCAGATAAATCCTAACTGAGATTGCTTTGATTAGGACTTAAAAATCTTCATCATTCTTTCTTTTTCTCTCCAGCTGAAAAATCAACTTAGGAAATAACTTAAACACAAACTTTAAATATTTCTCCCCAAACCAAATATTCTCATTTTAAAGACAGGGTAATGAACAAAAAATAACTATGCAATACCGTCAAAATTATTCCTTAACTCTAAGTTAATTCATGGTCATACAATGAACTAAAAAGGTTGTCATGGTTTTTTTCATCTCCCCCCTGTCAATTTTTCTAAAGAATTTATCTCAGGGGAGCAATAAAACACCCACTCTTGAATATCAAAGGTCTCAAAAAGGAAGCCAAACTTCCTTAACTTCAGAAACAAGCTTTAGTAGATCTGTACATGGTATGATCTAAAAAAAAAAATTATTATGTTTTAAAATCTATGTCAATTTACTCAAAAGCTATTTGTAGGAAAATGAACATTTTCACAGTTACTATCCGAGATTGTGTGCTTCACTTCTCCTGTAAAAACACAGTCCCATCATGTTTTCTCCCATTTCTTACTATAGTGATTAATATTAAGTTATGAGATCTATGAAGTGCGAAATACTAAGGCAACAAGAAGCAGTGGCAAGAATAGGTCACAAAAAATAATATTCTGTATAGTTGGCTTAGTGAAGCCTAATTGCTCATTAAGCATTTGCAGATACAGTGTTACTTATACACAAGCTATAATTGAACTGCAAATAAAAAAACCATCTAAGAGTAGCAGGATCCTACCCTGTTAAAATCGATTTAATGATCAAAATAAAAACCTATTCAGAATCCAGAAACTTCTCAAAATGTTGCTCAATTTTCTTGGGTTTAGGTAGGGCATAGTTGCACAACACAGCTTGAACCAATCAACAATTCATCAAAGGATCACATAACGCTCTATTCTGCTTCTCTGTCACATTCCAGGACCTGAGCTCCTGCTGCCTACTTTGAGCCATTTCTGGGGTGCATTTGGCTTCTCCAGAAAGTCAATTCAACTCATAAACATGACTAAAAAATAAACTAAGAGCAGAGAAGGACAGACGTGAAAGACACATAACACAAACATTACCACCCCCAACACACACAAAACCTCAAAACTAGAAATCTTTCTGCTTCCCAGTGAGCTGACTACTAACCTGACACTGTGGGGTTTGGCACAAGAACCAACCTGATGCACAGGGCAGGACACTTGTGCAGGAAGAGAGAAAGAGCGACAGCTTCCCTATTTGGCATTCATTTACTATTAGAATTGGTTCAGCTGCTTTTGTTCGACTTCTTCCCACCTTAACACTTCAACTTTCCCTCACATATTTGTTGCATTTAACTCTGAATTTTCTATAACAAATAAAGCTAATAATGCTTTGGTACTGGTAACCCACATGAAAAGCTAAATAATACCAACAACATTAGAAAAACCTGCAGATTCTCAAGGCCATAAAACTTCACACAAGTATATGGACCCAGAAGTGACTCTAGGCTGGCCCGTGTTTCACAGCCTCACAGAGCAGTTACCACTCGCTGCCACTTCCTCAAGCACCACATTCTGGCTGCTGCCATTGTAACAGGAATGCATTTTATTAGACTCATCAATGTTAATCATCTCCTCTCTTTCACTCCTCAGCACACATCCTGGAAAACCAAACTGGAGATACCCATTGTGCAAAACTAAACTGGTGAGTGGGTGTTTGTAGCCACACCTCATGAAATTAGCACCACTCCTACACTGTTGAAGCCTGATGATGGGTTCTCTGCACAATAAAGTCAATGCTGGGAGTGTTCATTACAATTATGGCCTTCTCACAAAATTCAAATTCCTGAAAGTAAGAGCAAGAGCAAAAGAACAAAGATGACAATCCAATCACTTTCTCCCAGTATCCATGACAGCACCTTTCCTTCAATGTCACTGAAGACGAAGAGAAACGTGCAAACTGCTCTGGAACCTCATACTGTGAGTCTCTTATTCCTCAACATCAAATGCCTACCAGAAAGAAAAATTACCAACAGATATTTTTCAGTTGTTGCTAATTCTTACACAAAAGCAGATGAGGAAAGAATCACTTCACTAATTCTTACCACCTCAAAAAGAAGCAACCAACTGAAGAGGAAGAATAAAGTCTGACTTTACAGGATTTTGCTTTCTAACTGGATTTCTGATATCAAATAAAAAGGTAAGTACCAATATTAGCTTGCTTCCTTCTTTCATCAAAGCACTTGTAACTCCTCCCATCCCCAGTTCTCTGATGTTTAATATTAGCTGAGGTCATACTCGTACTCCTTCCTGTTCAAGAGATTTAATGATCACTTGCCTTTAAATGGGCCACTCATTTTCATAAAACATACAGCAACTTAAAACAGCTCTCACTGCTGTCTGAAATCAGCCAAGAGGTTCACGGGTTACAGGGACTCTCAGACAGTACAGCTGTGTTAAGTTACAGTGCTTTAGAAGACCAACTAAGACTTGGCTCAGCCCCCCATCAGGGTTAAAAATGGGAAAGGACAGTTGGAATTTGCAAATGTGAGAATGAGAACAGAATAACACAACAATGTATGTGGGAGAAAAAGTGAAAAATGAAGCAACATTCCCCAAGTGACAGAAGCAATGTATATTCATCTGGAAATAATGGGATATCACATCATACAGGGGTCAACACTTGGAAATTATTATTTCTGAATGTTTTTAAAATGTGGGTGTTTAAATCACTTAATCCCTCTTTTCACATTCCTGCTGATATTACTTTTAGTAAAGCTGCAGTTTTCAACATCGATGTATTTTTCCTCCTAAACAGCAGCAAGCATTTAATGGATTACTTAAGTAGACACAAAACCAGTAAGACTTCTCCTTACACCATCTAAAGAAGCTTCAGAATTCTATGAGTGAAAAGCAAAAGGACTACTTGTCTTCCTGCATTAAATAAAAGGAGCAAATATCCTTTTCTTGGCATAAAGCCATATACATTATCAGCAGATAAATTTTTCTTTAAAACAGAAAAACGTATTGCCAGTGCAAATACACAAATGGGTTAAAATAGTACAAAAACTGGGAAAGTAGATAATTAAATGCATATTATGCTTAACTGGTAAAAATCTTCATTTCGAAAGCTAACATCCTCCGTCAAAAGCAAATAGCAATGTGGTAGTTCAAACATTAAAAAAAAGCAATACAAAATACTCTCAAACCAAGTAATTTTTCTAAAGCATAGCTATGCCATTCCTCCCACACATACACTTGCAATCTTTGATGTAATTCTAAGCACTATTCAAATGCTGCAGTTATTTCCCAGAGGACAATACATAACGATTTTTTCATATTTTCAATAAAAATGGAAAATTCAGTTAGATTTTCTTCATGCATGCAAATCACAGCAGCATGCTTAATCCAAAGGAAGACATGGAGCCTGCAGTGGTCTATAGGAAAACTGGAACAAAAAAATTCCAATGTATAAACAATGGAGGAGAGGTGGGGGGCAATATACATTGACATTTGTTATTGTTCTGCACATATTAGAGCTGATCAGGGTAATGCAGCACAGGAAGTAAGACTGCTAAAAAGCCAAAAGAGAAATATATTTAACCTTATTAGCTGTTTCTTACATTTTTTCCTCCCTTAGCACATAATGCATTAGATTCTACAGTGCTGTGACTGTAAAACCACTTACTTGGAACACTGATTTCTCATCTTTATTCTGCAGCTGTAATAAAAGTCTGAAAATCCTACTCCAGACTGCTTTTTCTGGCTAAACAAGGAGAACTGTCTTTCCTCAGGGTGTCTGAGGTTCTTAGTCACCAGCTGAAGAAATGGAGTCTAAATGCACTGGCTGTTGAGAAGCAAGTTACAGAATAACTGCTTTTGACTCATGCCCTCCTGGATTTAAAATCTCTCCAAAAGCAGTACTACCTGAAAAAAGGCCCTTTGAATACGTGTCTTTATGTAATATGTAAACTTATATGCATTTTCTAGGGACAGAAATTTGTTATTCCAGGAAAGTATTGACAATACCAAGTCTAGCACACCAGCTCAAAGGAAAATGTCTTTTCCTTTACTGTTGTTCTTTAGTAACTCTTTTGGGATGTTGAGACAGAACCAGCAAGATTTTTTCTGTTTACTGATTATGGAGTACTTGTTCGTTTTACCTATCTCATAGATATTCTAAGAAATCACCTTTGGGAACAAGCTAAACAACAAATTTTCACATAATAAAACACTATTCTCTATGAGCTACACCATAAAGATTTTTCACCAGACACACAGAACTATGCTTCAGTTACACAAAGTACTAAAATAGAGTTTAAAAAGCAACAATCTCTTCCATCCACCAGATGCATGCATTTAAATGTAAATTTTAAAGCCATTATGCATGATTTATTTGGTGAGGTGCACTGCAAAGGCTATCTAGACCAAAATTCTTTGACCCTAGTTTTGTTAACATGCTTTTCTGCAGGAAAAGGACATTTCTCCATAGTCAAATATTATACACACGTATGAAAATACAATATACTAAGTATTGAACATACTAGCAAACATTCCCAACTGCACACATGGATGAAGCCTGGGCCTTTGAATGCAGGGTACTATATTGAGTAAGAATGCAATTATAACATACACAGTATAAATAATTTATCCCCCAAATTAAACCTTTTTTTAGATGGTTTAAAACTAAAAACATTAAATTTGTCCACCATTTTTCATCATAACCCCCCACTAACAGGAACAGAAGGAGTGATGTCAGGTGGGATAGATCAATAACCAGTGGCTATCAAAACTTTCCATTGCTACAACAATTGCAAACACAGGGAACAAAATACATCAAGTTTCCATGTGTTTTATCTAAAATCCTTTATGATTAGTACACTAAATTTGGGAAACAATTTATCTTAAAATACACGGATATGTTCATGTTTAAGACTTCATCCAATCCATCTTGAGAATTCCAAAAGCACTGGATTACTTGAGAAGAGACAAGTTAGGAGCTCACCAATCACCACCAGTCAGAGGGACCAGACTGCCAGAATTTCAGAAATTAAAACTTGGCTACTCCTGAAAGCTGCCCACACTTCATTTCTTAGGTGCACAGAGGACAGCTCCTCTGACACTGTCTGGCCATGGTTCTATCTGGGAGCAATCTGAATCAGCGCTTAGCAACACTGGCACTTTGTATCGTTATGGCTGTGTCAGAAGCATCAGGACGAGTTACAACCAAACCTACTAAAACTCAGCATGGATTGTGCCTCAGCTCAGTATAGTTATTCTTCTTTCTAGGCCTGCCAAAACCTGTAACTGCACTTCACAGACACAAAGATAGCTTGAACCATATGTCTAAAAGGTCACTACATCACACCACCTGTACAGAAAAAGCTGCTCCCAAACAGAGCAAGCTCAGCTCAACACTCTTTCAATTGCATTTACTGATACCAGAATAGGTGCCCTGTATAAAATAGTTGATACATCCACAAAAATGAGAATTGTCTTTAACTGGACAATGTTCTAGTAATGTAAGAAATACCTGTATTACTAATAACTAAAAGTTGACTGATTATAGTACTGAAAACTACAGATTTGCCACTGCTCTAAAGTGGACAGGACTGCTCTATCCTGAATTATATCAGTCCTTATATATATATTTATGTCTTATAAAATGATTAATCTTTCAGAATGTAAGAAAAAGGTATAAATAAAGCGTGATTCTCTCACTGCGAAGATTTTTATTAAGAAAATTATAGTGTATTTTATACAGAAAAGTAGCAAGCTAAGTATCTTAGTAACAAAAAATCCTATCTTTTTTGACTTATCACAAGTTTTTAGCATAATAAGATGGATATGAGCTACAAGTAGTATTTAAACTATATTAGTAAAAATACTTAAAATTTAAATTAGGATTGCTAAACTACCCACTCCATTTGTCTTTTTGTTTGTTTTTGTCTTTTGTCTGTATCTTTGTTGCTAACTTAGTAAGTACTCCTAGCATCTTCTGAGAACTAAGGATGACATTAATTGTGCCCTTTATAAGACACACAGGATTTAACCTCACTGCCAAATGTCAAACTCACTTATCAGAAACACAGAAATCTCAAACGTATTTAATTTCTACACATATCTCCCAAACTGACAGCTAGACGAATGAAAAAGGTCTGATGTCTCCAGTATGAGCTCAATGGTTATCTGCTGTGCTCTGCTTGCTGAAAGGCAAATCAACAAGTGTGTAGATCCAAACCAGCCATAGGGTATAATTAAGGAAAGTGAAAGGAGATGAGTGTCAATGAAAAGTTTATAGGACATGTGGTAGAAATTAAACACATTTGCTAGGTGATGGAAGGGAAAAGACAGCAAGTATGTTGCTGCACGGTGGTATGCTCAGAGGATCTGAATGTGAACTGAGGCAATGGTGGTGCAAGAGCTGGGTTATTCTACAAACAAATTTATATAACAAGTCCACAGGAAGCCAGACTTCAGTACTTCTGTCATTTTATCCAGTAACAGCTTTATGATTCTCCTATTCCTCTTCTAAATGGGAGGAAAAAACCCCACACCCCAAACAATAAAAAGGCAAGAACTTTTAATTTTTAAGTGACGTTCCAGTATTCACCAAATAGATCAAAGCTCTAGTACCAAATCTGGGTAGCTCTATTTCTTCAGATCACAGATACTTCTTTCGCGATCAACTACGAGAGGGATGGGGGGGTAGGGGTGTAGAAATAGCCATTCTCGGGGCAGGAACTCAGACGACCTACTTCAGCCTGTCTGCTCGCACGTCCAGCCCCGTTCCGCGGAGAGCGGAGCTCTCAGGCCGAGCTCCCTGGCAAGCGGGGCTGGCAGGCCCGGGCTCCGCGACGTGCGGCCGCAGGAACCCGAGGGGCCCGGCGCGGCCGTGCCCGATCCCCGCTCCAGCCCGCCTGCTCCCCGCGGGCACCCGACCCCGACCCCGGCCCGCCGCCCTCCAGCCCGGGGAGTGTCCCTGAGGGCCAGGAGGGCGCCCGGGCCGCCCTCGATGGGCCGGGCGGCGGCGGCGGGAGGGCCCGGGTAGATCCTTCACCCACCTCTCGGCAGCGGCGGCGCTGAGGACGCGGCTCCTCCCGCTGGAGCGGCGGAGAGGGGCCCTGGCTCCGTGTACCATACAGCCGGGGGCGGCGGAGGGAGGCGCCGGGGGGCTGCGGAGAGGGGCAATGGCTGAGGCGAAGCCGGGAGGAGGAGAAGGAGGCGGAGGAAGAAGGGGGGATCCTGGGCTCCCTCCTCCCCGCCGTCCGCGCTCGGGGGGGAGGTGGGAGCCGCCCCCGCCGCGCCGCCCGGGCACCGGCGCTCCCGGCCCGGCCCGGCCTCGCCCCCGGGGTCCCCGCCGCCCTCACGCTTGTTTACCTTCCGCGCTGCCCCGCGCGGCCACGGGCGCCATGTTCCCCCGGCAGCACCGCGCCGGCCGTCACTTCCGCCGCACCTGCGGCCGCGCGGGCGGGCCCGGGCCGAGAACGGCACCGGCACCGCCCCGGGCCGGCCCCGCTCGCCAGTCCCCGGAGCCCCGGCACGCCCCGAGGAGCATGGCCGGAGAAAGCGACACCGAGAAGCATCATCTGCGTCCGGCCCGCGAGGACCCACATCCAGACGAGTTTGCTTTCGGAGGGTCGGTGTTGCGCTGCTCTCTCCCACCCCGCTGCCTCCAGGCTGCGGCCAATTTCTCCGAGACTGTGGCAGCTCCCAGTTTTCTCTGGCAGCTGCCCGGTGTAGCGGTGCACCCCGCCCCGGGTTACAGCAACCCCTGCCCGGTGCCGGCCGAGCTCCGCCCCGGACACCGGCCAGCCGCAGGTGTGCGGGCTGATCCCAGCTCCCTGCTTTCCGCTGGCTGCCTTGCCAGCCGCCGTGGGAACCGGGTCACCAGAGCCCCAGGGGTCAGGGCCGGCAGCCCTTGAACAGCGAACAAACTGCACACAGGGAGCACAGCCCTGAGTGGGGTGAGCACGGCTCTGCTTTAGTACAAACATCACTCCTTTGCTTTCGCTATTTTGCCTTTGCCTGTCAAACTGATTTTATTGCAAGAAATGAACTTGCCTACCTGGACCTTCGGTTTGCCACTACCACCCCCAAACCATTTGCTACCCTTCTATGTCACTCACAGCTTTATATAGCAGACCACAGGATGCCATCCTCTCCCTGTTTACTGCTGTTCCCATCCCCTTCACAGCCTATTTTCAGTCTCTCATTACCACCCTCTCCCCATTCTTGATTTATAAAACACGTGTACCTTCTCTATAGCTGCCACTCCCAAGCTGAATGTCTTTCCCACCTTTCACAGCTTCACACAATGAACCAGCTACTCCATGCTGTGCTGCACAAAGACTTCCCAATGCTATTCCCACTCTGTTCAACTGCCCACCTACTGCTCCCTCTGCTACAATCAACCTCCCATTCACTACTTCATCCCAATGGCCAGACCTCTGGGCTTTGCAGCTCCTTACTATTCCATTTCACTCACTCATGCAGTAAATTTGCCCTATCTCCCCAGTCACTGTTTTAAAACCTGTTATTTGTGCCCTTATGGTGAAAACCTGGCCTTTACAGACTGGCCCTGTCAAGACAGCAGGTGTTCCTGCTATCGATGTCTCAATGGAGACACATTCCCTCCCTTTTCCATAAGGTACATCTCCTGCTGCAGCAAACATGTACCCACCCATATCTAATGCTTCAACAAAGAAAAATTAGTAGAAACTAAGTTTCTCTTATAAAGAAATGATACAACCAAAACTTCATGCATCCTTCTGCACCCCTCAGACTTTTGACTTTCATAGGTCAGTAAGGGTGGAAAAAGCTAAGCAAGACTTTTATGTTTTACCTGACTGTCATTTTGCTGTCTGCAGTTTGTATCAAGCTGAGGTGCAAGATGATCTTCAGGTCTCTCCTACACACTGTCACATAAGAGGACCTCAAACCTAGCCACAAAACAAAACCACAACAGCTTTGATATTTAAAACATCTCAACATTTCAGAGCACAAAAAAACCCTACCTTCTCCTTCACACTGAACAATTTGAACAATTTGCTTCTACCAAAAAATCAAAATATGTTAATAATGTCTCAGTTCTAGTCTCCTAAATAAAACTAAATAATTACATTTAGGCCTTTAACGATGACTACTAGTATCAACATTACCTTACTAAATGTTAATTTAAGATTTGGGTTGACCCCTCTGATTTAGGCAACTGTACAAAGTCAGTTGCTACGTAGTTACCACTGACTTAAATGAGACTATTGCAATGAATAAAATTCTGAATATAGTTTTTTGAGCTATATTAATACACTAGTTAGTATTTAATTCTAATATTTTAAAATTTTATTTATTCAAACATGTACAATACACATATATCGACATATGACATAATGTCAACTCCTAGAAATGTTCTTGACTATTTTAGTTGGGGTTGTTCAGTCTGGACAAGAGAAGGCTCTGAGGAAACCTTATAGAAGCTTTCAGTGCTTAAAGGGGGCCCAGATGAAGACTAGAAAATGGACTTTCCACAAGGGCATGTAGTAACAGAACAAGGGGGAATGGATTTTAACTGAAAGAGGGCAGGTTTAGCTTAGGCCCTAGGAAAAATTGTTTACTGTGAGGGTGGTGAGGCACTGGCACAGGTTGCTCAGAGAAGCTGTGGATGCCCCATCCCTGGAAGTGTTCAAGGCCAGGCTGGATGGGCTCTGAGCAACCTGGGATAGTGAAAAGTTTCTGCCCACAGCAGGGAGATTTGAACTCAATGATCTTTGAGATCCCTTCCAACCTAAACCATTCTATGATCCTACAATAATTAGACTTTTGCAAAGTTTAGACTTTTCTGGGTTTTCTTTATACTACAAACATTTCCAAATAAGTGCATCAAAATAGCAAGAATGCCTCAGAATAAGATGTACAATCTCATTGTTAAAATAGAAGCAACAGTTTGTGTATTTTTTTCTTATTCCTGACAGAGTGTTTGGCAAGGACTAAATCTTTTTTAAAGGCTTATTTT